ACCCCCAACTCTAGGTAACCAACGTAGGGAATAGAAAGCCCATTGGCCGCTCAAAGTTGCAACCACTGACAGGACCTAAGATGATCCAAACCCAAAGGCTCAAAACATGTCCTAAAACAGGTCTCCGTAATAGTGGACACCATTGATCCCGTATCTATCAGACAAGACACTACTACTCCCCCAATACAAATCTTCAAATGGTTACAGGATGACATTAAACCAAGGGCTGGGCCTGGCTCACCACCAAGCCTCTCTGAGCCAGAAGGCTCCCCGTCCGAGCTGTGGCTCTGCAGCTCGGTGCGGATCAGTTTTCCGCCGGTGCAGCGGACAAACCTGGTTCAACACCAGTAGACTGACTGGTACAAAAAGACTGTGAGGACAGAACCCTATTCCCATCACATTCACAGGCAAAATGTCCTGGTTGCTGACAGCGATGGCAAATTACTGATGAATTTTGCTGAGGGGAGAGAGGATACCGAGCACTTCGCAATATGGCAAGGCTCTGGATCAGTTTGTCCTTTTAAAATCTCCTTCAGCTCAACCAAATCCCACTGCAGAGTGGATCCACCAACAGAACCTGTTCCACCCTGCACACCATACTGAAGGCCCAAGGCGGATGGAAGTGAATAGCTGCGCCCCCTAACGGCCCCAGACATCCCTTCCCGTTCCCAACGAATTGCCTCCGCTCGTACCTCTAACAACCCCATAGCCGGCTGATGCCGAACCAACCGCTTCAGCTCGCGCCGTAATAAGCCATCCGAAACGCACTCAATAAACTGATCACGTAGCAACACACCCGCATTTGGAATCCCATCAGGAGCTGCCTGTAACTTTCGCCATCAAACTCATTAAGGCCAAAGAAAATTTCCCCCTCTTGTTTCCTCAAAAAGAAAGCCTCCTGCAAAGCCACATACGAAGCGGAGCATGCATACAACTCTCTTAAAAAAGAGATAATCTTACCCGGGTCCCCTCGATCTATACTGGGATGGTAACGTATCTCCTCTCTAGCCTCCCCGGCTAGATGGTCAAAGAGAAAAAGGGCTTGCTCTGAAGCAGACAAATAACGAGCCCGCATACAGGCCTGTGCTTCCTCTATCCAATCATTTACGCTAATGCCTGATTTACCATTAAAATACGGACATTTACGTTCACAGAGCACAACAACCAAATGCTCAGGGAAACGTCCAGTAACCTGTCCATCAGAGCCCGATGGAGAAACCCCACGCACAGGGGCAGGCCTGGCCGGAGACCAGCAGGGTTCCCCCTGACCTACACTCGACGGAATAGCAGTGTTTGGTGGCCTGCTCTAATATGCCCCCCCAACTAGAATCTTTTCCTTATGGCCCAGCCCAAAGTAATTCATACAGCATAAATAATGGATAAATATGAGTAACTGGTGCAAGTTTGGTGCATGTAGCATTTTCCCATCCAGAGTTAGACAGGGGGGGGGGCATTCTATGGCAAGGTGGCCTGCTATAAAATGCCCCCCCTCTAGAGTCTTTTCCTTATGGATGGACGATTTGCAACACGACTT